AATCAAAATTAAAAATGACTTCTTCATAAATAAATGATAATTTTACAATGGTTAGTGTTTTTTTAGATTTTTTATGTCAAAACAAAAATAAAAATAGTCACACACGTAAAAAATATATATAATGGCTTTCATAAGTGGGTATAATAAATCATTCCCCCATTAATTTGATGATGATTATACCTCTATATTTTTTCCACTAATTTTTACTTTAAGGTCATAAATACTATTTACTTTATATATATATATATATATATTTTCAAAAAAAAAAAAAATTAGATATTAAATTAAATATTAAATTAAGTATTAATTTTGTGTCCATTTAATACAAAATTTATTAGTTACTTTGGCTTAATTTTTTCCTAAAAATTAGCTTTTCGTGTTTCATTTATTATATAAAACTTATATGCTTGTAAAATAAAATTTCCACCAAGCGACATGACGCACAAATTGAGTAAACACAAATGAGACCCAAAATTTGCTATAATCTATAAATTAAATAAATCTAAAAATAAAAAATTATCCCATTATTAAACCCTCATATTATTTATTCATTCCATTGTCATAATGATGATTATGATTTCGAGACATCACCTCTAAAATATATAGGAAAGGTGGTGGGGGGATGAGTTTCCGAAGATATATTGATAAGTAACCATTATTTAGGAGTTAATATTAATATTCGAAAGATGAAAGTTATTGACGGATTAATAAGTTATAACCCATTGTGGAGATAGAGTTAGCGGTGAGGGGGGGGGGGAGGGGGGGGTTAAACCTGAACCTATGTACCCATCATCTATCATGAAAATGTAAAATGATAAAATTAAATTTACACGACTTGACGCTTATTTTTGGTTAATAAATAATAAATTCAATCAAAATCAAAGCAGCTTTGAGGAATTTATTAATGAGGAATCGTTGGAAAGATTAGCCTTTCTGAAATATTTCTCGTATAAAAAGATAAACTATTCTTTGGAGAATGAAGGGTAAGGGGAGGTAAATTAGAAGCGTTTTTTTTTAGCGAATCCTTATCTGAAAGAGGGAAATGGCATGATAGAAGTTGTCTCATTATCTCCTGGGTTTAATAGTAAATCTGTTACATGGGTATTTTTTTGATCGCAATTAGGGAAGTTTACAATGTATCGCGAACAGTTTACAAAGTGAAGAATATTAGATTTGATATTAGTTTAGCGGACAATAATCTTTACTCAGAGCCTAACAACTGATTACGGCTTACTGTAAATTTACTCCCAAGATGTTTAGATCCTAACACCTCTCAGCAGATTGTTATATCTTTTCTAGTATAGTAGTTTCCCTGACTCGCCCTATTTTTTTTTAAACAGCTGTTCTGAATAATTTAAATGATAAAAAAATCTCCCAAAAATATTGTTAATTCGGAATTTAAGATCAACAAATTAATTCGAGCTATAGAAGGCTTCCGGCTAAAGAGGCCTAGATGTCAGACACCTTAATTCGAAATCGGATACAATTTTTTCTTTTATACTTTTACGCTTATCCTATCCATCGTGGCGGAATATAGCTATACCTGTCACCACTCTCTCTATTTCGACAACTTTATATTCTAATAAATTACACTGCAAAAATAGAGTTCTATTTTGTGAGAAAATTCCTCTCATTTCTGATAATCAAAATTCCTAACATTATCGCGACTCAAAGGATGAACGCGTTCCTTGGACCATTATAATCCGTTATAACCGTAACCGAACCAATATAATTATTTTTTTGAAGAAAAAAATTTTTTATTTAAAAAAAGTTAAACCGGTTTAAACCTGTTCAGTTTTTATATTTTAGAAATGGAAATAATTTGAATATCCAGAATTATATAAACTTACTCTTATAGTACTGGCGGTTCCCGCAACATAAGTCTCTGTAAAGAGTTATTTTAACATCATATATATTTGTTTTATATATATAATTCGTAGATGCTTATAATAAAAATAAATTAGACGATAGTGTTGCGTCAATAAAAAAAAAATTTCTAACCGTAATGAACCTTTACAAACCTTTATAATTAGCTGAACCTAACCTAACCTTTATAAAAATTTTCTTTAGAACCGTTACCAAAACGTAACCATTATTATTTTTTACATACTGAACCGTTATAAATAACGGTTCGGGTCCCTAGTTATATATGTAGTTAGGATTAAAAACCTCTTAGAAACTGAATTAAGGTTTGGAACAGGAACTAAACTCCAAATCAGCTCACTTCTTAGAAATTTTTAAATTCCCGATACTAGATATCCCTACTTTAGAAATTTTTTTCAAGGATTCGAAATCAGTTTCTAAATCCTTTAAGGACTCATTTCTGTGCGATTTATTTAGCACGTGGTATGTCAAGATGTCAGCATGGGGTGATTGTTCACATGATTCAAAAACCTACTCTATTAACTGGAAAAAGAAAAAATAATTTAATACGCATGCGTGCTTTTGTAAAAAATTAAATATTTAAGCTGATAAATATATAAACATTATCTAAAAAAAAATAATAAGATATTGTGAAAAAGTTTTTAAAAAAAAAATACTCTAAAAAATAAGGCTTAATTATTTTAATGAAATTCTTATTTACTTTGACAGATTAAAGCTGTTAAAGATGGAACTATAAATTTATTTCAAATTTTTTTAATTATAAATTAATATATATATTTAGTATAATTTAGAAAAAAAAGGTTATGTGTATAATATTAATAATAAAATATACATAACATATTTTTAAGTTATGGTGATTAAATTGTGTTGAAGATATTTAATTTAATAGGATTATGTTATTTTCGCCTCTAGTTGTTGTTAAATTGTTTAAAAAACTGACTAACTCGAATATTTCATCCAGAATAGCAGAGTTGTTAAAGGATCTAGATACTGATATAAAAATGTGGTATCTGTATCTAGATCTATTTTTTTATTAAAATATCTGTATCTAGATACTATTTTAGACGATGTATATTGTATCTAGATCCATTTAAAGAGTATCTTTTAACAACTCTGCAGAATAGTATTACTACGCGAGCCTGAAGATTTTTGTTTTGTAGAAAGAACAAAGGTTTTTGGGACATCTATTAGCGAAATCTCGATGCTTAGGACAATATCGCTCTTTCTAATTTTTTTTGGGGAGCCCGGTTTTCTTTTCCAAGATATACTATAGGCACGGATTTTCCTAGTGGAATCAAAAATAAGAGCCCATATAAGATCTGTCAGGGTTTCATCCGGATAGAAGAGATTCATTCAACGTGTTTTTTTCTGGAAATGTGTTATTTTTTAAAATTTAGAAATCTGATTTTACCGGAAATTGTGTGACGTCACCAATACCTTACTCTTATGAATTACAAATAATTTTTTTCGTGAACCTTTTGAACTTAATATAAATAATTTATATTAGATTCTCCATAAATTTTTGTATACATAAACAATAAATGACTCAAAGGGTTAATAGCAAAATGTCTATTGTTCATGGTGTTGTTAAAAACGGTTCAATTTGAAGCCTATTTTTTTTAAAAAACGGCTAACTTCAGTATTTTATCCAGAAAAAATATTATGGTAGCCCTAAAGATTCTGCTCATAGAAGTCACGTAGGATTGAACATCTATTGGCCAAATCTCGAAGCCTAGGCCATATATTTTCCTGGCTATAATGTTGAATTAGCCTGATAATTCATAAGATAAGTACTCCAAACATGTTTTTTTCTTTCTTTCTTTAATGTATTACCGGTAAAATCAGTTATTGTTAAATTTTAAAAAAAAGGCTCTCTAGTCGAAAAAATAACACATTTACCGTGAAAAAAAAAACACAATGACACTAACACACATACATATATATGTATATAATTTATTAACTATGAGCAATTGTATTTTTTTTTAATTTTAGAATTCCCTAAATTCAAATTTACTAACTTATTTAAATATCTTCCTCTTTTTTTGCAAATGTAACGAGCAAATGTAACTAGCATATGTAACTAGCAAATGTAACGAATCATTTATGATCATCTCCTAAATTTAAAAATTAATGGTTAATTAAATATAATATCTCACTCGATTACACCGCTTCTGAATAACTTTCGTTTAATTAACTCCCCCCCCCCTCCATTATTTTATATACTAAATTTATATATATGCCACTTTTCTGGGTTCGACTCTTAAGACTATGCCCTGCTAAAGGAAACCCTGGTGGATGGAAAGGTATATTCCTTCCTGTTGTTTTATTAAATCGAAAAATCTCACGTAGAGATTAAAATAATCCCATTCTACTTCCGGTGTTAATGACTAATTGGAAGCAAACCTTATCTCCCCTCCCACTTTACTTCATTAGTGAAAAGGTACATTTACGTAACTAACAATACAATAGATATTTATTTATTTTTAAAAAAATGATATTTTTCTAAGATTTCTTATTCAAAAAATAGGGTTATTAATTTTAATTAATTAATTAATTTAAAATATAATATTTAAAAAATAATTATTTTTTTATAAAGAGATCTTAAAATATAAATGATCAATTAAATTGTATTTTTTTTTGGAAATTTAATTAAGATAAATCCATTTTTATATATATATTTTATAAATAATTATAATAAAAATGAAAATAAGATAATTGTTTAAAAATTTTTTTACAAATATTATTACTATGTTCAAGCTATAGGAGAAAAAAATAATACAATATTAATATATATATAGATATTCTTGTATTTATTTGGACTTAAATAAAGTGATCTTCTTTAAATAAATATTGTAATAACATCATTATAGATCAATAAAATATTTGTTACATATATATATAAATATATATGTTTTGATAATAAAAAAAATAATTCATTTTTTTATAAAATTTTAAAAAATATAAAATTAAATTTTATAATATTTTATAAAAAAAATCAAATTAGTCATTATAAACAGGGTAAAAAAATAGGAATAACTTTGAATTTTAAATTTTTTTAGAAAAATTTTGAAAAATATAGTATATTTTTTCCAAAATATATTATGTAATTTGATTATATATATATAAATACAAAGAAATAACTTAAATTTTTAACTTTTATAAAAGATTTAAATTTATTATAAATTTTACTTAAAAAGTTATTAAAAGTTTTTATTCCGTTTGAAGATAACCCTTTTTTGCGAAGAATAAAGTAAGAAATTTTATTTTAATTATTTATGTTTTATACCAAAAAAATAATTTGACTATTTAAACTCGTTCCATTTTTCCGTGCCCTAAAGAAATTTCCTCAATCAATGGCGAGCAATAGCGCTCTGTTCCCGATTAGGAACTTCGACTCTATGTTTGAATCCGAGATTTAAAAATAGACCAAACTTCCTAAAAGATTCGAACCGGAATAATGGGGGGATTTTTCTTATTTAAAATCGTTCCATTTTTCCGTGCCCTAAAGAAATTTCCTCAATCAATGGCGAGCAATGGCGCTGTTCCCGATTGGGAACTTTTATGCTCTATGTTTGAATCCGATATTCAAAAATAGACCGAACTCCCTAGAGGATCCGAACCGAACTATGGGGTTGCCTCTGCTTTATAATGCGCGTGCGCGTTGTTGATGCTATCTTCTGTCCCTCGTATTTATGAATAAGATTTTTCCACCCCCTCACCAAAAAAAAGTGTTAAATTTGATAACGGCGTTTACGAATACCCTAAAAATTTTAAATTATGAAGAAAAAAAGTAAAAATGTTAAATCAAGAATAAATATTAAGATATGTCTTTATTTATAGGGGGGTGTACGATTCAAAAAAAAAGAAATGTAACTGCTCCTTTTCATAATGTATCTGTTAGTTTTTAGAGAGCTAAGCGATACAACACTAAATTTTAGAAAAATTTAATTAATGGGTTGTTTTATATTCTCCAAATTCTTAGTAATTTTTTTTAAATGATGGCTGTCTAATTAGAGTTTTTAATTTTTTTTTAATAGAGGTCTGGCTCCGATTCTTGTCATGAGTTACAGATGGTCAAGGTTTTGAGTTCCAAATTCGGAACATTAGGGCAATGATTAAAAATCTAGAAAATTAAGCAATAAATTAATAGAAATTTGAGCAATAAATTAATGATAAATCTTGTAAAAATGGAAGAAATTTTAACCATAGAAAGAAAGCAAGAAAGCAAGAAAGCAAGATAGAAAGAAAGAAAGAAAGAAAGAAAGAAAGAAAGAAAGAAAGAAAGAAAGAAAGAAAGAAAGAAAGAAAGAAAGAAAGAAAGAAAGAAAGATAAAGAAAGAAAGAAAGAAAGTGAAACAAAATATTTGATTAGGAGATTATAATAATTTTTTAAAAATGGTAATAATTTTTATGAAATGGAAAACATAGTTTATTTTTAACCCTAGCCTCCAAGGAATTTTTTTTTGTTTTTTGGAACAATCAATTTCTTTAAATTATTGATCATTTAATCTGACTTCTTCTTATTCAATTTTTTTTTTTTTAAATTTTCATATTTTTATAGAAGATATTATTTCAACTGAACCCTTGCTTCCCGACATCAAAAAAAAATAGGAAAAGAAGGAATAACATATCGGATCGTAAATCATACAGTGCTTCTCCATATATTCCAGGAAGAAAAAAAAAATTCGCGGATTAGAACCAATAATTTTTCTGGGAAATCATGTTCCATTATATCGATAAAAGATATTTGCTTTTCGGGATATTCCTGGCGATTTGTCAGATGGCCAGTGTTCAAAGTAAGAAATTAATTAATTAATAAAATTATATATAGTAGTGACCTGGCCCTAGGCTAGCAAGTGGCCATTTTTATTTGTATTTTTGTTATTTAAATTAGTGGTGGCATCTTATTGGCTATTACCATTTTTAGGGTTAACCAATCAACCCCTTTGCTTTCCCAGGACATTTCTTACGACAATCATTTAGATTGAGATTAAGTTTAAAAAAAAAAAAATTTAAGAATGGCGGGAAATTATGATTTTGAGTTAAAATACACCCGACCGACGATTCGGATAACTTGGAAAAAAATTGGTATCGAGTTCGGGATCGTCGAATCTTTGGATCACACGTTACTTTTTATATAAACTCTGATTTAAGTATTTAATTTTTGATATTTGACTTTTTACACATTTCGGCCAGATGCGGGTGTAAGCGATTGTTTTATGAAACCTCTAATATTATAGTTATATATATCAAAGTATAATTTTGGCATAAATATTCTATATTCTTAATTATTATTTCTCTTTTCACTTTCTCTTTTTTTTTATTTCCTGTTGTTTCTTTCTTTCTTTCTTTCTTTTTTATTCCTTCATTTTCTTCTTCATTCTCTTCTGTCTTTCATTTCAAAATTATACTATACTTTTAAAACTTGGATATCAATTTATATTTAAAAAACATCTTAAATTAAGATTATGAACTTAATTATTTGTAAAAGTTTTAGATATCCGCCTACCCCATCTTCCCTGCCTCCGATACATTTTTTTTAGCACAGATCCTTTTTCCGTAATGAATCTATTATGTTTTGGCTTAGAAACTACCCCAAAAACTTCTGCATTC